ATAGGTTCTTGTGCGTCTCTGTGGTAAATCCTTTTGTGCAATTACACCGCCACCTGTTGCCTTTGTTGATGATGATACTGGCATGGTGGCACGCTCTATATTGTTATAATAATTATTATAGTTATTATTTGAAGAAGCAGCAGATCCGGCACGTTTACGTTGATAGCTTGATCCGACAGGTAAGGGTATTCGAGAATTGATTGATGATGTTGATGATGTTGACGTTGATGAATTTTTACGAATTTGATAAATTTGAGAGTTGGGACGTCGAGTATAAGCCGGGGTGGAGTTTTGTTTTACATTATTATGATTATAATTATGAGTGCCATTGTGAATATTCTTGTTTTTATCGAATAAAGGTTCTACTTGATCAGTAATATCCATATAACCTGCCATTATGATATTGCTTTTATTCGTTATTGGTGGTGACAATGAAGGTGAAGATATATCATTAACAGTGTTTGATGATGTAAGAAAAGAGTCAGGTTCATCGGTGACACCGAGCAACGCGTCATGATTAGCAAAAGGTAATTGACCATTCATCTTTAATTTCTTTGCAACAGTTGGCACTATCACGTCATCGTGTGATATTGTAGCTCTTCGTACTTGTCGACGAGCAACAGGTTTTTGTTCATTATCTTTTTTTGTTTTGATGTCGTCAAGAGACGTTGATGATTGGTTGAAATTATTTGATTTTTTAGCAAAGTCTAACAATGAAAGAGCTGTTATATTTGATGTGCTATTTATGGGATTAGAATTATTAACGATGTTGATGGCGTCTGTGATATTTGGGTGGGCAGTGTCGTCTTTTGTTGGTATTATTGGAGGAGTTCTTGGAGGAGTCACTGGTGGGGTAGCAATACCATCCTTTGATTGTATACTAGTGCTATTTAAATAGTCTTTAATTTGATCGTCGTCGTTGTTTCTAATTCTAGCATTTGATTTCTTTTTGCTACCTTTTTGTGGATTCGATTCTCTGCTATTCTTCCTACTCATTGAGTTTCGTTTTGTTTGTGGATCTGATTTTTTTATTGGTGGCTCATTATTATTTAAATCTGGAAAATAAATATAAATTAATATAAATTAATACAAATGTAAACAATTATAAACAGTTGTAAATAACAAATAAATATAAACAAATATAAACAAATAAGCGTCGATCATCGTTAAAGCTCAAACTCAAGTTAGAATCACACACAAAAAAATACAAGTATTAAACATTTACCCTTATGAATTGACGACGTGTCATCATTCTGTGCACCAGGTCGTTGTTGCCTACTATTACTGATTAAACCGTTACTGCTAATAGCATTACTTAAATGCTCGGATGATGATGATGTTGTTATTGATGATGATGACGAAGACGGCGGCGAATTTAAAGACGTAATGTGAGAAGAGTTGGGTGAATTTCTTGGAATTTTATCACGTTTTTTGAACGGATCTGGAACGTGACGATCCGTTGGTATTTCAATAACTTCTGTTGTCTATTTATTATAAAAGAAAATGAATTAGTATAAAAAGTAATATATATATGTATGTATGTAGATATGTAATATAAGTGATATATATATATATATATATATTATGATGCTCTTATATCTCAGATTAAATAGGAACTTACGATATCATCATCGGTGAATCTTATTTCGAATGCAGGAGCTACTTGTTGTCTCTTTGACATTCTTTAAGAAAATAATATAAAGATTATTATTATTATGGAATTATTAATATAATTATTAATATAGTTGTAACTATTATAAGTAATAACACTCGAATTTCTCTTCACAATTCCTGAAAGAACTCTAGCAAAACCATGTAAAAGGAGGAAATATATTTACCTGTGGCTTAAGTGTTGTTGTTAGTCTGTTAATGTCGTAAATAAATTTAATATATATATATAAATTATTGCAAATTGTTGTAGATGTTGAAATATTTTTGTAATATTTATAAATTCTAATAAATTCGTTAATTGTGTGAAAGTGTGTGTGTGTGCGCGATGTAAATGTAATAATTTGTTAAATTGTTAAATAATTAGTTTTTTTTTAAAAAAAAATTTTTTGTTTATTTTTTTTTTAAAAAATAAAAAGAAAGCAGCCTGCTGCAACTACTATATATAATATAATATATACTATTCTATTCTAATAATAATAATACTATATATATCAATATTACTTTTTTACTAAAAAGCTTCATAACACTTACTGCGGTTTTTTCTTTACTTATTTAATTTTATTTATTATAAATTTCTTTTAAAAAAAAAATTTATAACAAAAAAAAAAAAAAATTTTTTCGTTAAAAAAAATAATGGTCAAAGAAAAAAGAAGTAAAATAAAAAAAAAACACCAAAAAAATTTATTTATTACGAAAAAAAAAAAATCAGACAATATTAGAGATGACGAAGATGATGATGATAAATACGTTAAAAAATCAAAATGTTGCTGTGTAATTTCTTAAAAATAAAAAATTTTAAATCTTCAAGATTAGTTGCTGGAAGATCAACGCGAATTATTTTCTAGCCTTTTAAGTAATACACGATTTGATTTCACCAACAGCAGTTTTTATTTCTGTGACTCGGGGGGTTTAGAAGATTGGATATTTTTTATATATTTGGGGAAAGGAACATTTTATTTTAGGTTAAAATTTTTTTTACGCACGCATTCACAAATAAATAAATATTTTTTTTTCCAAATCATATATATTCCTCTTAACTTACAATTAATATTAATGCCAATTTACATTAAATCACAAACACAAACATTGATTACAAATTGCAAAACTTTTTTTTATACACATTTATACACACAAATTCATATAAAAATTTTTTTAAATATAAATTTTTTCTTTATTGTAAATTTTTTTGTTTCCTTTTTTTTTTTATTATTTTTATTTTTACATTTATTATTTTTATTCTTAAATATTATTTCTTCCTTATTATCTTTTCATCATCCTCCTTTCAATCCTTTTCCTTCTTTTTCGTTTTCAACTTTCAACTTTTAATTTTTAACTTCTTTACCACCACCACCTTCCTTTTTCCCTTATTTATCGCAGTGGTTTAGATTATCCATACATTTTTCTTATTTGGAATAATAATATTATTATTGATTTGCAAAGAAAAAAAAAATAATAATAATATAAATAATAAAAAAAATCAAAGCATTATCGTCAAAAATAGTGTTAGTTTGTTTTTTTTTTTAAAAAAAAAAATAGTTATTATACAATTATTTATATAATAAACATTACATTTTTTTTCATGTTTTTTTTTTGTATAAAAATCTGTAACTTGATAGAAGAATGGTTAAGAATTAGAATCAGAAGATGTGTGAGGAAATAATTTAATCAATCCAAATCCATATCAATACAATAATCCCTCTTATTCACCGTTTTTAATGCATATATAATCGATTACTTTCAAAGCGGGGGAAACAGAGGGAAAGATTAAAACAAAAAAATAAAATAAATTTTTTTTGAAAATTTTCTATATCAAAAAGAAAATTTTATTTTTTTGATACATATAAATAACATGGTGATTACCCTATGTTTTTTTTTATCTAATATTAATCGCCTTAAAAATTCCATCCTCCTCTTCAAGATATAATCCCTCCCAATAGCTAAACATGCGGAGAAGTCAATAATAGTAGGATTAATAATCACGAAGCTTAAAGTTTCTGGTAGAAGTACACATATCCATCATGAGAAACACAGGCTTAATTTGAGGGTAAAGAAGATAAGCAGAATTCTCACTCTAACTTGATGGATTGGCTTATTACTATGAAGAGCTTGACGATTAAGGGTAGATATGAAAGGCAATCACAGGCCGAAAGTGTGCTCGTCGTGTTGTGTAGATGCTCTTGTAACCAGGAAACACATGGCTGTTCCTTAATCTACATTTGACTTTTGAAGAGTTAGCTGATGCCGGCAGTTGTCAAATTTTATATTCAAGATTAATGTTAAAGCTGCCATTCTGATGTTCTATCAGAAGCCTCATTACCGATACACGACGCGTTTGATCACGTGAACGTATTGGTATGGTGCAAAAGATAATTAATAAATTTTTAGTATTAGTATTAATAAAAAGGATCAATTATATATTTTTTTAGCAATATAAAAAACTGTTTTTGTTCCATACAAACAGAACAAGAAAATGATTCATGCATCCATTATATAGAAACAAAATTTTTATTTGTCTACCCATTGCTCTTACCGTATTTGACAAGGCCCACTATTTCTAAACAATAAAGTCTTTTAGTATATATTAATATTTTATTCAAATGAAATTTTGACAGGATATTTAGTTCCTGCCGCGACCATTTTCACCTTGCAATATAATTCCTGGATATTATTCATCTTCTAGTATACTTAGTTCACTTTGATTATCGTTTGCACCTTGAGCCGAGCTTTTTGAGTTAACATGGTGACAGCTAGAGTTGATATGATGTAAGGGTCAGAAAAACAATGTATTTCGACTTGTTGATCCAGCTTGAACTGATGAAGTTGGTTGATAATGCTTTTGTATGATCATTTTGGATTTGTCTTTAAACGTGTTAAATCATTAGATTTGATGGCGATGATAATTGACTATATGCGCCATATCTCGGATTGACCTTACTTATGAGTGACCTAACTTCTGACATTTCGTATATCTATCCGATAAAATTGTACCAACTATATATAAAAAGAAAATTTAATTTATTTATCTTGATATCGTTAACGTGTGAAATGATTTTATAATGTAAAGACAACCAAATCGATACTTTTGTTCATTTAATAAGGACTAGTTTTCAAGTTCAACATTAGTTTTTATTGCCTTTTCATTCATAACTTTGGTTAATTCGGCTCTTTCAGAATTATCTTCTAACGTCAATATAGTTCATAATATTTGTTGGCTTCATCTTCATATGAATATGAAAACATGAGATCAAATTTATAATCTATCATTTTGCTTTGCCATCATGTTCTTTATCGGCTTTGATTTTTTGCTTCATTAAGCCTTATATTGATATGATAATATATTCTTGAGTCTATTGAGTTTTAGGAGTTTAATGAATATATCCAAATTGTTGATCTTTTTTATTCACAGCCATTACATTATTGCTTCTCTGTCTTTATAAGCTTCTCTTTCCTTCCTTATACCATATAGGTTAACTTTGCTATTTTCTACTGGATCTTTAGTTTTTCCTATAAGCTCAGGTGATCGATAAGGAGATGGTGCTGGATATTATATTGCTATGTATGTACCTTTTAGAAGGGATTTTAAACTATCTTTCCAATATAGCTGAGTGCTTTTTTATATGTGCGCACATTTTTTGGTTTATTTTTATATCTATTGCTGAAAAGTACAGTTTGAAAATTTTGTCTATCTCCTTGTGTTCTTATCTGGAATGCTAGACTACTGTTGGTCATCATGGCACTACGTATCTTATAGTATTCTGTTTGGGATGCCCAATTGTTTTATAAGAAACACCATTTTCATTTGGCTCAACAACAATATTTTCCCAGAATTTCTTGAACCAGTCTGCAAAAGGGTGTCAAGTTTACCAAAATCACGAATTTCTGGTAATCTAGTTGGCATAATAATTTCATCCTAATCACAAATTACTTTGATCTTTCTCCCTTTTTGTCAAGAGACTTGTTTGATCAAACAATGAAGACGATTAGCTTTATTCTGATCCACATGTTAGAGTTTTTGATATTAATTGTTTTTGCTGTAAGTTGGCTTTGGGTAAGTAATGTCTTTAAATTCATCTCTGAAAATGGACAATATCGTTATAAAGGTATTCTTGCCTCTTGTAATCCATAAGAGAAGCATTAACTAAAGATGGGAACTGTAATTAGCTGCAACCACAACTGCAATTTAATTTTTATATGCTGGAATTAGTTGCAACTAGTTACAATTAATTGAGGAACATCTTTGGTGTTAACACTAAAATAAATAAAGCTTTAATTTCTTTTATAACTTCAAAAATATCTGTTTTCCCAGTTTTCAATAAATCAGATCCAGCAAAAGGCATATTTTCTATGTATAATTGGTTTTTGTAATAATACTTGGTATTGTGGGGTAGCAAAATGAGGACTGAAAGAGAGGCCACACTTTGCCAATCAATCGGAATCAACTTACTGTGGTAGTCACGTGAATATCAGTATAATATTTCTATTTTTGTAATGGTTGCGCGCTATATATTTTCAACATTACACTGAAAATCATTTACAAGGACATTTGCAGATCATCAAAAATAATTGAATAAAGTGACATGACAATACTAAAAGTTTTATTATCCCAATCACATCAGTGTTGTCAAAATCTCCAGTTCAATTGGTGCAGTAAAAAGTGGCTTGGTTATACATTGGACCAGTCCAATTGGTTTGGACTGGACTGGACTTATTGGACTCAACTAGATTTTATTTGGGCTTTGTCATGCAAAAATAAAAAAATTTCCTCAATTAATTTTATTATTATAAAGAATGTAATTACACTTTTAATGCCCCAAGGAAGTAATTAAT